AATCCTCCAGTACCCTCGACGCCTGCAATTCCTCCATTGTACCTTCCTGTCCTTGAGACTGTACCATGTCACAGGGACGGAAGAGATCATTCCCGAGTACTCGCCCCGGCCTGGGCTCTGTGCCGAGTTCAGAGAGGGGGACTCAGACCACCCCGAGGCGAGCCCAGTGAGACGCCATGGAGGTAAATGGTTGCAGCGTGTCCCTGGAGAGGGAGCCAGCTGTTCCGCCTGGGCTGGGCACGGAGGGCGTTGGGTCAAAGGCCCTCTGGATTCATTCTTGAAAGGTATTTTCTGCCTCCTTGCTATATCGGGGCATCTTATTCTTCCACCTGCCATTCCGCCCACCCTCATCTGCGAGTTTTCGCCCCACCCATGTGGGAGGCATTGGGAGGTGACGGGCTCTGAATGGGGCTCCACGCACCACAATGATGAAGCCGGAGGTAGAGTCTGACTTCGCATCTGCTTAGCCCAGGGCCTCTCTCTCCAGCAGGTGATGTAGCCTCCCTGAATCTCGGGGTTTGGTCTGTCACGCTGACTTCCTAAGATAGAATGAAGTTAAAATGACGTACGCAGGCCATGTGGCACACAGGAGGTGTCTGAGAACAGCCCTCCTCATGTGCCCGGATGTGCACAGGCCACAGCGTTTGCCACCGAGGCGCTGGCTCCAGGGAGAGGCCCGCCCTCCGGGCCCCTCGTCGCGTCTGACACGCGGCTCTCCAAGCGCCTGGGCTGCCCCGAGAAGACCCATATGACCAAACTGGGCAGGCAGTGTGACCACAAGGTGACACTCTGGTTCAGTCAACATGTAACCATTTTGCAGGACACAGATACAGTTAGTTCACTTTTTTAATATAAACTTTCTGTTGTAAACATACAGAAATGTCTAAAAACCTAGACAGACAACTCAGAAAATGCACACAGCTGTGCCAAATCAAGGAAATGGACTGTTTATAGCCCAAGGGAAACAATCTTACTCGGTGTAGCCTGCTTTGAACTGTATGTACACGGAGTCATGGTGTACATAGACCCTTTTGCGTCTGGCTTCTCTCTCGACACTCCCTGGGATTCAGCCATGTGCTTTGGTGCTGTCTTTGTACGTACGGTAGTTATTCCCTCTGCTGCTGGTGAGGTGCTGGACTGTTCAGGGTGCCTGGATTTCCCATTTCTGCTGAGTGCAGACCTGAGGCTGGGTTGCCCAGTCATCCGGGGTATTTCGGCTTTGATGGATACAGCCACAGGGATGCTTCCCGGAGTGCTTTCCTGTTTACGCTGCTGCCCTCTCTGTGTATGAGGAAAGATGGAGTTTATTTTGCCCCCAAATGCACTGCAATCGAGTATTTCTCAAATTTCCATCCCTGTTTCTGTCTTCTCAAGGTAGTTGTGTTTTTTGATGCTGTCAGGTAAAATCCCTGGGGCTTAGCCCTGGGTTATACAACATTGGAAAACGGCGTCTCCAGGTTTTCACAACACATCTCAGTCCTGAGTGATGCTAAGACTAAATCAGAGTAGCCCCTTCCCCCAGCTCAACAAAAGGCATCTTCTTAGACACTCTGCCACTGTCCTTTTCACAGTTAAAGGAACTCAAGGTCTTGCTCAGCTCACTTATCATTAGATCCTCAACTTCCATCACGTGGGCATGGACCGCCCTTCGGTCATGGTTACGAAGCAGTGCAGACAGGCTCCTGAGAAGCACTGGACGCACTGGAGAAAAGAGCAGCTTCTTTGCAGTGAGGAGGCCTCTCATCCGGAGGCCGGGTGAGCTTGTTTTTTGCTTTGGGATCCAGGGAAACTGTCATTCCTTCCCTCTGTTACATGTGATTAAGCTGCCTGTTTGGTGGTTTCAATTGGAATCGCTGGGTAAAGACACGTTTGTCAGAGTTGGGAGGTCAGACCTTGCTTGGAAGGGGAGGCCACTGTTGGCCACAGAGCCTCACTGTGAGCTGCAGAAACCCTGCCCTCCTGGCTCGCCCGTGGTCACCTTCTGTGGGGCGCTTCCTCTGTGGAAGGCAGGGCTGCCTGCCTTGGTCTGGCCCCAGGGTTGCAGGTAACAGAAAACAAGTCAAGTTGGCACTGATTTTTTTTTTAAATGACCTTTTTATATTTTGGCTGAAAAATCTGTGCCGTCTCAACAACGGAGAGTGACCACAGGTGAGGTGATGAGAGCTTTCTCTGGGCCATGCTTGTTATCAGCACTTTGCATGTGTTAATATATTTTGATATTCTTAACCCCACTTTGCAAGTGAGGAACCTAAGGCAAAGGAGGGGATAGGTGGCCTTCCCAAGGTTGAAAGGGCCAATAATGACAGACCACTGGGACAGTCACCAGGCAGCCGGCTCCTAAGCTCACATCCTCACCTAAGTGAACTAGAGCTTGGCTGGATTCGGGACTTGAGATGATGCTACTGAGACCTCTTGGCTTGGCTTGCATTCCAAAGCTTCCTTCCTAGTGGGCTCCCTCCCTGTCTCCATGGTGGTAGCCCCAAGCCCACAAGGACCTCACACCACACCAACGGCTCACCAGTCCTGGGGGCTGACTTATCTGGGTGGGGCCCAGAGCCCTCTCCCAGCCTTCTGAGAACTCTGCGGGCAACTGAAGAAAGCAGGAGAAGCAGTTTCTCAGAGGAAGGGATGCTGGGCAGACACACATGTGTGGCCACCCTGAAGGCCAGTTAAGGCCTTGTGGGATCCAGGGCCACAATGCAAAACAGAGGAGCTCCTGTTAGGTGCCAGGTGTTTGCAAGGCACTGGGGAGCTACCGAGACATGGTGGTTGCCCCTGTCAACTAAGGAGAAAAGTGGCAAAGGAAAACCCCAGCAAAGTAGCTGGAGCCCGAGGAGAAGGGAATACCTGATTGAGAGGTGAGCAGGAGCCGGACCTGGAAGGCCTGGCAAGCCCCATTAAGTAGTAGTGAGTAGCAACAGCACTGCTTGAACACATGCCGTGTGCCAGGCATTATGCTAAGCAACTAGGATACATTTATTTTTCACTCTGGTACCTGCTGTGTCATAGATGAAGAAATGGATACTTAGCACAATGAAATAACTTGTCCAAGACCCCACAGTGATGGAGCCACACTGAATAGTCTAAAAATGCCTTAGATTTAACCATGCTGCTAAGGGGAGGCCAGCCAAGGTCACAGTCCAGTCCATCCTCCCCACCCACTCCACTGCCAAGTAATCTACACTGCAGATGAGAATGTCTTGGTTGCCAGCACCCTGCTATCATGTATCTGTCATCAAGGCGCACAGAGCACACATTTAAGAACTTGAAGATGTAGTCATTAGAGACTGGATTTTTCCCAGCCTGCTTTTAAGTATCATCAGTATGGTGTTCAAGTAGTGCCCTTTAATATATCAGGGGAAAAAATGCTGGATGGTTTCCAGATCCAAAGACAAAGGGCTCTGAAGCCACCAAAGGGGAAACCGGATCTGACTTGAACATACTACATGTGGAAACCCCAGGACTGCTGCAGTGCTCTGGGAATATTCAGTTACAAGGGAGACCCAGCACTGACCTTTGCAAGGACCTCCTTGCAAAAATACAGTCTTCTGTTGATTGTCTTCTGTTGAGACAATCAACAGAAGACTGTATTTAATAGAAGGAATTCATTTCCTGCTAACAAGGCTTCTAATCCTATACAAGAGAGAGAAGAAAGGAGGGCACAGACCCCAGATGGCTTTGAAGAGATGAACGTGGTTCTTTAGGAGTCCAAAAAGAAAAAAAACAAGAAAGAAGGTATTGTGTAAAAAGGCCATATGATCCAACCAGTAGACACTTGACATTCTTACTATTTCTTCCGCAAATACCCATGACATAGAAGATCTAAGGAGTGCCAACTGAGTAAGTCAAATTTTACTTCCTGGGTAGCTTTCTGGGTTATCCACTCCTGTATCTGACACACTTCAAGCCACTGTCCCTGCTCCCCACACCTCCCAGCAGAATGCACCGGCCTTTATTCTGTGCTGGAATAACCCTATATACAGTGTTTCCACACATTGTACTGAAATCGTCTCCTCTACAAGATTGTAACTTATCTCTCTCCTCAGCATTTTAGCAGATGCAGCTGTTCAGGGAATGTCTGTTGACATAAGAAAATGCTTCCATACATTTATAAATACTTCAACATATTGTAGTGCAGCTCTGAGCCCCTCTTTGGTCCAGGAGCTCCTCAAGTGTAACAACACGTCTTATTCATCTTTCTCTCCATTGTCTAGCACGGTGCCTAACAGTTCCAAGCAAACAGTTGGTGCTCAGTAAACATCTGAATGGTTAAGCACACTCAACACAAAACACAGTGGGAATGTAATAGGATTCTTGATACAGAAAACCTTGTCAATTAGTGACACAGTGTTTTTCGATTTATGAGCATGAGTGATGGGAGATGGCAGTTTTCTGGGAAAGTATAAATTTAGGTCGCACATTCCTAGCTGGTGGAATTTCTCAAAAGTTGGGAAAACGGTGTTAACATGAACAATACACAGATGCTTCGCACTTAAACCCCACAACAAATCTAGGAGGTAGGTATAATCCCCGGGGTGCAGAAGAGGAAAGAGACCCAGAGAGGTTTATTTCTTGCCCGAGTCCATCCAATGCCAGGCCTGAGGCTCAACAGCTGGTGCCCAGGGTCCTTTCCTCCTCCGAGGTCTTGCTGGAGAGAAGTGAGAAAGAAGTTGGGGTCTGAGAGTCGAGGCCTGCACGAGGAGGGTACTTCGCAGCTTCGGGCACCTGCGGAAGCAGAGAGCACGGCAAAGCAGGCGGCGTCCGTAATATCGGTCCTCCGGAAAAATGGGATATTTTCGGCCGTGAGAGGATCATCATTTGAAAACTCAAATCATTTAGCGGATCTGAGGGCGCTGATTGTGAAGCCAACTCTGCTCTAGACTCTCACCAACTAAAACCTTAGAGGCAATACCGTCTCCAGTACTCACAGAAAGAAACCCGACCATCCGGAAGTCGGTACCGGAAGTTCCGGTGGGTTCACGTCACTTCCGTCACGCTTCTTAGGGCCCCCAAGATGGACGCTCTCCGGGCCCGGGAGCAGCTGCGGAGACGATACCTATTTTCGCCCGACGCCGAGGCGTCGCTGGACGGCGAAGGCAACGCCAGGCAGGGTGAGGCGCTCTTCCGGGCGCTCCCGGAAGCGCGCCGTGGTTTCCGGGCCGAGGCACCCGGAAACGGCCGGCTTTGCGGGTTTCTCGCAGCCCTGCCGGGTCAGGAGGGGCTGGGTTTCGTTTCTCAAGGCTTACCAGTAGTTTGCAAGGAGGCTATTTCGTGTCATAAAAGATCCTTAGAGATCACGTAGCCCCGCGCATCTTCATCCCAGGTAGCGCTTTAGGATTCCCAGGAATGATGATCTAACACCATTGAAAACACTCACTGGTTCTGTTTCTAAGAATCGACCAGACGTACTTGTACGGGTAGCCCAGGACGTGTGAGCCAACTGTCACACCTCAGCATTGCTTGTAATAGCAGACAGCTGCCTGAGGACTTGCAGGCAGACTTTGGTCTGCCAACTTGGGTGATTTTCAGAGGGCGGCACAGAACGGTGGTGGTATGCCACCCTTTGAGTACAGACGGGATGCCGTGCGGTGTGTGTTTTCCTGTAGATGCGGAGAGTGTAGAAGAATCCAGAAGGGGATACTGGGGGTTGCTTCTGGGCTGGGGAACTGGGAGAGGTGGATTTCATTTTACACCTTTTTGCCCTGTATGTTGTAAACCATTTGCATTTAATACCTCCTAAAACAGAAAACATGACCAGGCATGCTGGGTCATAATTTTTGAGGGTATTATCTCCGGGAATTTGTATTAGGAACAAGTTTCTTAGGAATCGGAAAGGTTGAGAGCCTCCAATGTATACCAGGGGCATGTCAGTCACCTGGGGAACTTGACCCAGCTCGGGCTGCAGGTTCTTTCATATTGTGTCCCAGGACTAGATCCAGCGTGCCCTTTCCAATTCTGCCCTTTCCACTTAACAGGCTGTGTTTGTTTAAAATAAATAGTTACGAGTAGTATTTTTGGAAAATCACAGTTTCGTTTTGTGCTCCAACATATTTGCCTTTTGCATTTGCCTTAATAGGACTGATTACTTTCCTAAATGAAACCTGAAACAATGTTAAAATTCTTACACTGCCAGATGTTGCCATTCTTTCTGAAGGACTGAATATGTAAATTTGATTTCAAAATTTATGGAGAAGAAAAAAGTTGACTATATAGAACATGTTTTATAGTGAACTGCTAGTAATTATTTCTGCAAATATAAGTTGATATTAGTGGTTTTACAGAAAAAATTCATGCTATGCTGGAAGAGAATCTGGTTTTTAGAAAGCCCTAGGAAACTTCTTTACTTGGCTTAAAAGAGGTTAATTTATCCCCAAGAACTCATGGTAATTTGATAAGTAGAAATCTCCCTTATTTGCAGGAGCCTCTGCAGCTGTTGAGAAAAAGCAGAAACCTCTTCCAAGACTTAATATCCATTCTGGATTTTGGATATTGGCCTCCATTGTGGTGACCTATTATGTTGATTTCTTTAAAACTATTAAAGAAAACTTTCACACTAGTAGGTAAGAAAATTTTGCTGCTTCATATGTTAAACACCCTTGTCTTATTTTTCATGGTTTATTTTGTCCATTGAAGTCTTCAGATGCTTAGCAGGTACCTGGTGTCTGCTAGGCCCAGTGCTAGGAGGTGCTGGTGATAGCTGGGTGAGTCAGAGAGCGCATGCTCCGGGCGTGCAGTGGAGTGGGTGAGACAGGAGTTACTTTCTTGTGCCTTTCAGCACAGGTGCATTGTCGGATGGGGAAGGTGGTATATGAGAGAAGGACCTAATCCATTTGAAAATCATGGGAGGAGAAAGTAGAGACTGGAGGTCTTTGCAAAGATAAAGCTGGGGAGCTCTAGGAGAGGGGACTGAGAACCGTGGTGTGAAGAGATCTCTGAAGGCCCCTAAAAAAGGAGCATGGCAGTATTTTCCCCGGAGAGAAAGAATGTCAGTGGCATGACAGGGATCCTTGTTGGGGCTTGAAGCACTGTCCTGAACACGATTTTGTTGTCTCGGCTGTTCTTTGTGTAAGTACTGTCAGTACTGACATCACAGTGCCCTGATTGGCCCCAAGTCACAAAGCTGGTCACGCCAGAGCTGAGTTCAGACTTGGGTTTTGAAGATCGTGCTCCTTACCACTGCATCCGGCCTCCCACAGTTCTCTAGTGCAGAACTGTGTCGTCATTAAAGCAATATGCAACCTTGACATTGTTGGAAGGCCACTCAGTGCCTGTGAACTGGACAGTTCCAGCCCCCTGTGCCCCCTCTGTCTTCTACATGAAATGCCGGTTTTCTTGTGGAGAAGCAAACAATAAATGGGGGTATTGGGTTGAGTTGGGGGACTGACTGGGAAAAGGACTTTGTTCCCCAAACCTGGCCTCCTCCCATGACAAGCAGGGGCCGGAAGGAAGAGGTCGATGGGGTCACACACACCAAGTCAGGTCTCGGGTACAATTAGAAGCGAGAAAGAAGACGTTGTTTCTTGGAGGATCATTGGAAATCTTCTAAAATGTGAGGGTTTCACTTAGAAATTGTTTATGAGAGGCGCCGTGAACTAACCACCTTCCAAACTGATTTTCAGCATTCTGAGAAACGCCCTCTGGAGGAGTTGGTGGTACCCGTTATCACCGTCACACTCAAAAGTTCAGAAACAGACAGAAAGCTGCTCTCTTTCCTGTATTTTTTAAGAAAATGTGTCCGTAACCATGGGTCTCTTTTGCTCAGTTAGTTATGAAAGTACATGCGCATATGTACTTAAAGTTGTACTTTTCTGTCCTGCCGTGGGTCCCAGGCTCATCCCTTCCCACCCTGTCTCCCAGGAGACGAGACTTTCTGAGATCTGGTATGGGGACCGTGGGTCTCTGTATTCCTTTTACAGTTGATACGCTCGCAGAAATAGAGTTTTAGGCCGCCAGTGAAAACTCTTACAGTATCTGCTGATTTGCTAAGCGCTATCTACCCAGGCATCGTTTTTGTCTCTACAGCTGGTTTCTCGTTGGCGCTGCCTTGCTGCTTATCAGCCTGTCCATTGCGCTTTTCTGCATTCTCTACCTGGAGTGGTACCGTGGGATCGGAGATTACGACGCCAAGTATCCAGCGCTGATACCCCTCACAACTGCCGCCTTCATCGCAGCGGGGATTTGGTGAGTTAACTGGGACACGACAGACAGGAACAGAAACTCTGTTGCTCCGGCACTGATGTCCATGGTACAAATTTCTGAGCAAAAAAAGGGGTAACGGGAAAATAGTTCCCCTATCATTTCTAGTCTCTGGTTCCCTTTTCAGTAATACCTTTCTTTATGTTTAGTTATTTAAAACACAAATAGTGAACTTGAACAACAATAAAAACAAAAAGCGCCAAAGCCCCCCCGCAAATGCTAACAGTGCTTTATATCCATATATCCTGCAACTTGCTTTTTAAATCATTGTCACTGTGAAGCGTAATACACACAGTAAGTGGGAAAAATGAAATCGCTCAGCTGAGTGAATCATGAAATGGGCACTGACGTAAACCCCCCAGGGCTAGAAAGGGAGTCAGGCCCGCACCCACAGTCCCCACCCACAGTCCCTTTCCCCCCTCGCCGCCAGCGCCCCGCCCATCCCACCACAGGGAAACAGCGCCCTGGCCTCTGTGCTCATTGCTTCCTTTGGTGTCTCTTGAATACTCTTTGTTTGGTCTGAGTTTTTGAGCCATATACAAATGTATTCTTACATATTCTTTTACATTTGCTCTTTCTGTGTTAAATTACGTGGATTTATCCATGTTGTTATGTGTAACAGTTACTCATGGCTGTTTGGCAGTCCAGCCTGCAGCTGACTCCCAGTGTGTTTTCCACTGCGGACAGCGTTTGGATTGTTTCCGGTTTGGTGGTGCTATTAACGATGCTGCTGGGAACATCCTAGTATATGTCTCTTACGCATAGGTGTGCTTTTCTGTTCTGTACGTGTGCGTGTGTGTGTGTGTGCGCGTGCGCACACGCACGTACACACACATTCTTTCATACTGGGGCACGCAGGCGGCCCTCACTGTTTTCGGTGGTTGCGTAGTTAGCACCGCATGGACATCCCTTCACTTGTTCAGCCAGCTTCCTGTCGTTGGGCTTACAGTTGATTTTATTCTTTTATTTCTATAATGTAAAAATGCCAAAATCAGGGTCCTTTTTTTGTTAGTTAATAGGCACTCGGTGAAATGTTTATAGAGGTGTACTTGCTCACTGAAGAAAAATCTGTTAATCACAGAAAGTACAAAGGAAACACACCCCATGACCCTGCCAGGCAGGGAGAAAAACTACTCTGTGTGCGGGAGTGCTCACTTAATGTCGCTGTTCGGTTCTTGATTTTGGAAAAAGCATATGCCCAGTTTAAATCTACTTTTTAATGACTTACTTTTCTGTAGTTGAAGTTGAAGGGCGTTTGACCTGGTGCATTGTGATGTGGCTTCATCAACCCTTCAGTGACGTAGGCAGACAGGTGTGTTAATTTGCATTTTCTTGTGAGGCCACTGTCACCCTCAGAAATGTCATTTTATTTTTCAGAGGAGTATAATTATAAGTATTTTAAGGTTCTACTTGCTAAAACGTTGCATATTAAAATCAGCAACTGTCTGAAGTGTTTAACTGGCTATTGTTTTTCCTCGTTAACTTCTGCTCTTCTGAGTTCAGTCCACAAAGATCAGCCGCGCCCGGGAAGTGCTTTATTCTTCCCTTGGTGATGGGAACAGGGCTTTTCTCCGCGGAGAATGTAATAGAAAGTTATAGGTGGTCACTTTTTCATCCTGTTTCTAACTGTAAAATGCATTTAACTACCCTTTTCTTAAAAAGATTTTATTTATTTATTTATTTTTAGAGGGGAATGAGAGAGGGAGAGAAATATCAATGTATGGTTGCCTCTCATGTGTCCCCTGCTGGGAACTGGCCTGCAACCCAGGCATGTGCCCTGACTGGGAATCGAACTGCGATTCTTTGGTTCACAGGCCCGTGCTTAATCCACTGAGCTACACCAGCCAGGGCTAACCATTGTTTTGCCCTGACCATTTGACTGCGTGCGAGGCCGTGAGAGCAGGCAGTGGCTGTTTCAGCCCGTGTCCCACTGGAGACGCCGGCTTTCAGAGACTCCGGTTCCTGTGAAGCCAGCCCTCATTGGGAGACCGTCAGTGATTCCAGTTCCAAGTACTTTTGGAAGAGATTGTGATATTTCCAGTATTTGCGAAATCACATCTCTGAGAAAAAAATATACATGTTCTTTAAATCTGGATTCTGTAGTAGAATATACAAAGAGGGATGACCCCCCCCCAAAAAAAAAAAAAACCCTGGAATTTATTTATAGAAAAGTGTGTAATTACTCTCACGTGCCTAAACTTCAGTCACCTTCAAAGTGCGCTCCATTTGATGCAGTACACCTATCGAGATATTTTTTCACTACTCAAAAACAGTTTCTGAACTTGTCAGTTTTGATGCCTTTTAGTGCTTCTGCCATTTTTTTGTTTTCCCCCTTCCACATTGGCAAAAAATGTCCCTTTGAGGACTTTTTCATTTGGGGAAACAAAAAAAAATTGTTCAGGGTGAGATCAGATGAATAGGGAAGGTGGGGCATGAAGGTCACGCCGAGTTTGGTCAGAAGCTGCTGAACCCCTGGGGCAGTGTGGGCAGGTGCGTAAATCACCCATCGTGAAACGGGCAAGTGCACTGAAAGAGTCTTCAGAAAAATCCACTGAAGCTGAACGCAGCCTCTCACAACACCACCAGGTGGTACGTGGATGCAGATGGGTGTTCCTAGAACACTCACCTAGTGGAGGAAGCCTGTCCTACAAGGGGCCAGCCCTGCAGAAGATAGTTCTGAGGGGGTTTTTGGTTGCCCCTCACATGTGTATAGATTGTAGCAGGAGTCGTCAGCCGTGTGTTTTTGACTTTTTCTTTCAGCTTCAACATCGCCTTATGGCCGGTGTGGTCATTTTTCACTCCGCTGCTGCTGTTTACCCAGTTTATGGGAGTTGTGATGTTGATCTCACTCCTTGGCTGATTCCCGAAGGTAAGGTCTCTGGGATGGTGTTGCTAACACTGACCGCCTTCGAGAAAGGCCTGCACGACAGTGCCCGGTGGCGCGGCAGTAGCAGACTGCCCGTGACTTCCCTCTGGCGCGCTCGCACCGGGCTGCTCACCCGCTGCACGCAGACTGAGACCCCTCCCTCTGGTGCGCTCACTGCGGACTGCTCCTTAGAGGCCGCGCGCCGCCGCGAAGGCCCCGTGGGGAGGGTGCGTGCGCCATCCAATGTAAAAGAGTCCGCGCAGTAGGCCTTTCTCTTCGTTACCGAAGTCAGCTTACATACAAGGGAATATTGGCTACATTGTTCTTCAGAATTGGGAATTTGGGGAAAATAAGAAATTTTACCCATTTTGGGCAAAAAATATTGTCATTTTCTACCTCTTCCGTCTGCCTCATCAAAGTCTGATGGACGCCGTGTGAGCCTTTCCCCTCGGGGTGGTGACAGAACTTGCAGGTCCCGCGGCCCTCCTGGGTCACTGCCCGGCACGGGGCCCATTTGCCGAGTGTCCCTTAACTCATTTGTTCACACTGTGTGTGTCGAAAGTGCTCCCTCTCTGTGCTTGGGGACATGGTGCAGAGGACAGAGTGGTCTCTGCCTCCACGGCACCAGCAGCAGCATGTGGAGGGGTCCGCCTCACAGGCTGGTTACCGGGGAAACTGCGTCCGGCAAAGTCGCAGTTAATACACCAAGGAAACCACCAGGGTGCTAAGGAAAACCGGCGCTTTGGCTCACGGCCAGCATGCCCTCCCCTCGGGGCCCTAAAGGGAAGCTCCTGTGACCGCAGGGGAGGAAGAGGATGCCACCCGGTGCCACCAGGCTGAAGAGCTGCCAGGGCACCTGTGACCATACTGGTGCTTGGCGTCCCCTCTGCACATGGGCCTGCAGAGGGGCTGCCAGGGCCCTCAGTGCACCCCTCACCCCTGTTGGCAGGTGTCACCACGGGCACGTGCCCTCACCTGGCCGCTGCTCCTGCTTCTCCCCAACCCCCCCCGGGGTGCGTCCTCGTTCCAGGTTGACTTTGCACAGTCAGGGGGCTTTGGACTTGGTGCTGCCGTGGGTGTGTGGTTGGTGGAGAGACAGGTGGTGTCACAGGCATTCTGATGTTGCGTCCGACAATGTCGTGTGTGCTACCTCACATGGAGCCTACATGCTCGCTTTCTTTCAGGTTCAAGGGCAGGAGAATGTAAAGTGGACGATCAAGCATCCAGCTAGCTGAAAGCATCCCACACGTGGAAAAGCTACAGTGTATTTTTGCATCTTGAAGTAAGCGGCTTTCTGGGAAAAATGGTCACTTCATCGGACTGTGATTGAAATTAAAGTAAATTATTTCTTTTGAGCATTCTTAAACCCAAGTGATTATTGAACTTTGCAGATTCAGCATAGGAATGACTGATTTGCGATGCTAATCTGTTTGAATCATTGGAGAGAATACTGGCGTAAAAATTTAAGTGAAGTTTCGTTATAGGTGCATAACATGCTCCTGACACTGTAGATGGCTCGTCGCTCCGCGGGGAAGGGGTGGCCGTCCGTGTGGAGGACGGTGGGGTGCGGGCCTGCGCCTGTGACCCGGCCTCCGTGCTCGCTGGGCCCCGGCTTCCCGGTGCCTTCCTCTGGCGGGAGGGCCAGCGGAACGTGTCTAATGCATTCCCTTCACTGTAGGTTTTATCATCGTGTAAATTGTGGGTTTTAGCATGTCTAACACATCAACTTTTAATGATTTTTAGGTACGTCTAATCTTTCCTGAACATTTAATAAAATATTTTTGTAACCTTCTGGGTTTGGTACGTACAGACTCTGGAGTGGATTCTGTGTTCAGCTTTCAGCGCTTTGAATGAGCTGTAGAAATACGGCCTCTTTTCACAGCAGGCTACTCTGCTCTTCAGAGACCCATGAGGACAGTGTTCACGTTTCCGTGTGCAAATGTGTTCACCTGGACTGCAAACACCATTGGCATCGTGACAAAGAAAGTACCTGGTGTTGATTCTTTTCCCCATAAAGCAGCGGTGCCCCACCTTTTGGCACCTCTGCACCACACCGGAAGAAGGAAGGTTGTTTGGGGCCACACGTTAAATGCATTACGACATAATCACAAAAAAACCTTACGTGTTAAGTAAGTTGACAGTTTCATGTTGGGTCACATTCGTGGCCATCCTGAGCCACCTGCCGCCCACGGGACTTCTGGTGAAGGGACTTCCAGAGATGATCCGATTCGGTCCCCACACGTCTGGCCCGGTCACACCCTGTGCCTCCAGCTGTGAAGTGGGGGCGATGTGTGTCTTGCAGGGTGGTGGGCAGTAGGGAGAATGTTGATGAGACACCTGTCGCAGGGCCTGACACACAGTAGGTGCCCGCTCAGTGAAGGGTAGTGGAGAGGGACAGAGAGCAGACCTGGGACTGGGAGCAGGAGGAGGCAGGCCCGGTCGGCAGCAGGCCCCAGCCCGGCGCCTGTGCGTGAGGGCGTGGGGAGAGTTGCACTTAAAGGCGGGAGTCAGCCAGGGATGTGGGGGGGCCGGTGCACGGCAGAGGCTGCGGACCCTGGCAGCAGGGTCACAGAGCGCCAGTGCAGACCCACGGGGGGACTGGGGTGGGGCCAGAGGCCAGGGCCAGCAGCGAGGCCCACAAACCCTGTGCCCGTCGGCCAGTCCGGATAGGCTATTTGAAGGGGCAGTTATCTGTGGGCAGGTCCTGCAGAGGAATAGACTGTATTCGTCCACCCGTCCACCTGTATGTCTGTCCATCTACTGCTCTGCCTTTTCTCACAGAGCAGTTTCACTGCTTGGGTGGAAATCTAATAATGGGGTTTTCTAATTAATACAGTTCGTTAAGATCCATTTATGCTGATACTGTGGTCACCTAGGACGGTAAGATGACCCTGTTCCTTAAAAAGAGACATTTTGATACATCTGTTTAAACAGGATTGTGCCTGGCCCTTATTTCTGTTAAGTAATCAGTACACAGGTTACTTGGGGGCCTTTTCCCAGTGTTATAACTTTTCAATAAATAAAAACAGTGTCAAGCAATAATGCTTTGCTCCTAAACAAGCACCCACTGTTAACATTAATGGATAATTAAAGTCAGGGTCAGTTGTAATCTTGGAATCACAGAGACGGTGGGAGGTGTGTACTCTCAGGACCACCCCTGACTGATGGTCCCAAGCGTCAAGACCAAGTTTCCAACCCGGCTGGCACCCGAGTTGCTCAGGCCGTGAGTGACCTGTGCGTAAGTTCAGTTCAGTGTCTGACACATAGTAGGTGCTCAGTAAATAACACAGTGTCTTAGGTACATTGTATTTGGCAGGAACTTCCCAAAGTGCACTATATATATGAACTCACTTTATCCTCAGAGACACTTGTTAAAATGGTGACCATTAAGAGGTCTATTTTACAGCTGACAACGTGGAGGCCCAGTGGGGTTTAGCGACTTGTCCAGGGCCACGCAGCGGTAAGTGACGAAGGCAGGAATCAAAGTTCCCAGCCAGCTTCAGAACTCACCCACGTAACCACCGCTTGACACTGCCTTCCCCTAAAAATCCACGTGGACATGAGCTGGTTTGTGAAACAGCGGACGTGAACATGCTTCGTAAAACTGCAAAGTGGGCCCCAGCTGGTGTGGCTCAATGGATTGAGTGTCGACCTGCAAACCAAAGGGTTGCTGGCTCGATCCCCAGTCAAGGCCTATGCCTGGGTTGTGGGCCAGGTCCCTAGTTGGGGGCACATGAGAGACAAAAAACAAGACAAAACTGCAAAGTGGACCAAATGCGGAAGGGGTCATTACAGTAGTCTGGGCGTTCATGGAGCCCCTGCGACCGTCTGCAGGCACGAAGCTCTCCCTCTCCCTCCCAGGTTCCCGTGGCACTGGGCACAGACCCTGCTTCACCCTGTCCCCAGGTCTGACCCCATACCTGGCACGTGGGCAGTGTTCAGTACACAGTTCTCAGTGGAGTGGAGACAATGCCGGATGCTAGAGAGCAGGATGATCAGACATTATTCTTGCCTTCAGGGAGCTCAGAATTGAAAAAAACAGTTAAAAATTGATTATGACGTGGGTAATAGAGGGATGAGGAGGTGGATGAGGACTGAAGGAGGAGCAGTTGCCTGGGGCTGCCTCAAACTGCAGAAATTGCGGTCTCACGATCATCGAGACCAGAAGTCCAGGGTCAGGCTTTGGCCGGGCTGGTTCCTTCTGAGGGCCGTGGGGGGGCCCTGTTTCAGGCCTGGCTCCTACTCCAGTCAGTCTCAGGTGCCCCTCGGGCCACAGACCACATCTGTCAGTGTCTTCACATCACCTTCCTGCCAACTGCGCCTGTCTTCAAATGTCCCCTTTAAAGGACACAATCCTGTTGGGTCTCGGCCCACCCACATGGCCTCCACCTGACCATCCGTGAAGACCTCATTTTCAAATGACCTCACGTGCACCAGTGCTGGGGGTGAGGACTTTGACATCTTTGGGGGGCACCATTCACATGTATTGAACACCTACTATGTGCCGGTCACCTCTGTTCTGTGTCCCGGACGATAAGCCGCGGGCAGAACTGGCAGCATCCTGCTCACAGAGCTTTCGTCGCGGTGGGAGAGGCAGGCCGCAGGTGTGTACTGCAAGGAATGCAAACGAGGGGGGTGAGGGGCCAGAGCACGGGGGACAGGACGTGCCATGGGGTCCTGCACACCCACTGGTCTCAGGAGGAGGTGAGGTCTCCTTGCTCATTCACGCAGCATCCATCCATTTGTGCACTTGCTGACCCTTTGGTGTATTTACTGAGCGTCCATCTGGTGTGGCTCAGGGGACATCAAGATGATGCACACATTCCCTGGTCACCACCTTCTGCGTGACCCCCATTTCGGTGCACGTGCTGCACCCTTGCTCTAGAACAACCTCCCACCCTCTGGCCCCACCCTGCCCCATGTCACCTGGCCAGCTCCTGCTCCACACTACAAAGACAGCAAGTGCAGGTGCCCCCTCCTCTGGGAAGTCCTCACCCTCCCAGGCAGACTTGGGACTCACCTGAGCATCTCATCCAGGCGGGGCCTGCTCAACCCCGCAGGGGCTGCTGGCTCCGTCTCATCCGGAGCCACAGGCTCCTGAGGCGCTGCAGACAGAGCCCCACACTGATGCTCCCCAGCTTCCCAGGGGACGCCGGCCTGCTGCACGTGTCTCCGCCAGGGTGTCAGCTCACCACTGACTGTCCAGGGCCTGGAACAGAGCCTGGCAGACGACTGAGAGGTGAAGACACACTGACCCCACGCAGGAACAAGTGAAGTGCAAAGTTAAGTGTGGGCCAGGCCAGGCCCCCTGGTGCACTGCCCCCTGGGCCCAGGCTGCCCCGCACCCAGGAACCTCTGGTGGTCAGCACTGACTGTGTAATTTGTTGGACCCACTGCAAGATCAAAACGCGGGTCCCCTGTTCAAAAACCGAGGATTTCAGGGCAGCAGAACAAAGTGTTAAGCCAAGGGCAGAGGGTGTCTCCTGCACGCAGGGCCTGGCCTTGCTGCCCAGGTGGCGGCCCACGAGGCTGCCTGCGCGCCTTCCCCGGCACCTTCGTCGCAGCTCACACCCGCCCTCAGCTGTGCCCCCCTTAGGACACTCTCGCAGAAACCTCCCAGGCCCTCCCCTTAGCCACGTCTCAGGGGGGGACTCGGGAGGACAGCTTCCGGCAGGCAGGGGGGCTAAGGGGGGGCTCTGAGGGAGAACCCGGGGCACCCCACCCCTCAGGTCCCGAAGCAGCTCCTCATTCCCTAGTAGGAGGGAGGGAGAGTATCTCTGTTCTTGGGAAGTGGCTCTTGTCCTGTTCGCATCTGGGCGTCTCCCAGCAGACACACAGGCACAGCAGACAAACATAGACACAAAAAGACGTGCCCTCCCCCTGTTCATACAGATCTAGGGACAAGCGACGAGCCTCGAAGGCAGCCGGCCAGAGACACACGGAGAAAACATACCACAGAAATAAGCAGGGACGAGGACAAAGTGACAGGCAGAACCACGCACGCGGACCCTCCCAGGCTCACCTGGACCTCTGCGTCCACAACCCAGGCAACCCAGACGCCTGGGTACAGCTCCGGAGAGCGCACGCCCCGTGGAGCCCCGGCGCTCGCCTCGGCCGCAGCCACGCCCCCCGCGCCCACTCCCGCGGTGGCTCAGGGCGACCCCCGCGCTGCTCCCAGCCTAGGAGCCGGCGGGAGGCACCTGTCGCTACCCAGGGCTTCCGGGGACACCGGGCGAGGGGCCCTGGGACGGGAGGAGGAAGACGCGAGGGCGTCAGGGAAGGGAACGGGGCCGGGGACAGCGGGCGGGTCCTGGCACCCAAGGACCCAGCGGGAGGACGCGCGGGCGTCGGGGCAGGGCTGGCTGCAGTCTGAGGCCTCAAGGGCTGGGCGCGGCCGGCGTGGGTCGTGGAAGGCGTGGGAGGGCTGCCTGGGGCATCACAAGGTGAGGAGAAGCGAGCAGTGCTTATCGGGAGCGCAAAACAGCCGGGGTCAGCCCGGGTCAGCCGGGTGGGGTCGGTAGTACGCGGACTGGGTGGGTGCCTTGGCCGAGGGCAGACGGACGCGAGAGGGGAAAGCCGGCACCAGAGGGGGATCTGAAGAGGGCAGCTGATTGGGAGGGAGAGGGCGTCGGGACAACGGCCGAGTCAGGGGCAGCAGGTGGGGGCCACCCCGGGACTGGGCTCCCTATGGGTCACTCAGCGATGCCCCAGGGCCAGGGGGCGCCTGCCTCTCCCCGGGCGGCGCGGAGCTCCCGGGACAGAAGTTCGCCGGCGCCCGCAGCCAGCCCGCAGCCCCAGATCCT